CGAATGGCAGGGAGGAGGAGGAGAGTCCCCGGGAGAAGGAGACACACATACACTTAGACAAGCTGTGTTCACAGACATCGCCGCGGGGACAAAGGCTCCGGAGACCTCCGGGGTGGATCGGCTCCCAGGCTGTGATCAGTGTCTCCATGCCGTGGACCGGTGTCTGCTGAGCTGTGGACTCTTCCAGGTCAGTGCTGCCTCCCCGACACTTGTGATCGTACACACAGGACGTGGAGTTGTGCGGAGTTGTGGATCCTCCGGGACACCTGTGATCCCGGATTGTGGACGGACGGTCAGGATACAATGTATCAGCTCTTCCAGCTACGTGTGCTGTGCTCATGCTTAGTAGGGCATAGGGTGACACACGGAGGGTGCCTGGCTGTGATTGGAGTGACTTCATTGTGTGTGTGTGTCTGTGTGTGTGTGTGTGTGTGTGTGTGTGTGTGTGTCTTTTCACGTCTGACATCTGCAGTGATTACACATGAAGATCTGTCACTCATACTAGACCTGCATTGTGCTCTGGTGTACCAACAGACCTGTCATGGGAGAAGACTGTCCTCTCCTGGAGATTCTGCTTGTCATGCTGATCCGCTGGCTTCAGAAGTGAAGGTAAAACGTGGGAGCAGGCCGGCACTTTATACATAGCGTGTCTCAAACTTACCTCTCAGTCTATAGAGTGTAAGCTCATGTGCAACCCCGTGTACAGCCTTAGCATTGGGATGAATGAACTCGTGTGCGGGAGTGACATTATCCCACGCCAGCCAATCAAGACAGCCGAAAACCACTCCTGTTGGAGCTAGCGATGGAGTTTGCAGACGTCGCGTCACTGCAGCGGAGGTCTTTGCGCACTTTAGTTCCTCTTCCAGGCACTGACCTGGAAGAATTGCGCAGTTAAACCCTTGTGACTTGCCTGAGCTGTGTACATGTTCTGGGATAGGGAATCGGAAAGTCTTGAAGCCAGTGGATCAGCATGACAGCCAGGTAACTAGCATTATGACAGGAAGTCAGCAATGGCTGCTCTTGTATTTCACTCATGACAGGTTCACTTTAACTGCTTCCCGCTAGCTGTACACAAATATGCAGCCAACCAGCTTGCTGTTCTGTACTGAGAGTGCGTTTACTCACGGGCTCCCAGCACCACGACTGAGACGTCCCTGACAGCTTCTGGTCACTGTTTATGATCGGGAGCCAATAGGATGGGTCTCCCAATCATGTGACCGCTGTGACAGCAATCACATGATCAGGAAGCCCACTTCCACCTCCTGTTGCTCAGAATCCCTTTATTGCAGGGGCGAGCAAACTCCAGCCCTGCATCTGTTGTGGAACTACAAGTCCCATGAGGCATTGCAAGACTGACAGTTACAGGCATGACTCCCAGAGACAGAGGCACGATGGGATTTGTAGTCAAAGTGCCAGAGTTGCCCATCCCTGCTTTATTGGGTAGTGGGAGCTGGTGCCAAGGGGTAAAAATCTATGCAAAGGCAAAACGTTTTTTAGTTTTGGATGAAGTAGGCAATGGCTTATACCTAGTGGTGGAACTATCGCCATAGCAACCCAGGCGGCAGCTATGGGGCACAGGGGGGCCCGGCCAGGATGAGGAGCAAAGGTGTCCCCCTGATGCAGTGCGGGCCGTCTGGGTCACTTTGGCATCCCAGGCTGTCACTGATGGCTGTGAGGAGGAACGCCCCTCTGTCCAACTCACCGACAACCTGTGATCTGTGCAGTGGCGGCGTTCCTCCTCACAGCTGCTGCTCAGTCAGTGACAGCCAGCAGCTGCAGCGGAGGAGGAGTCAGTCTTGCAATGCCTCATGGGACTTCTAGTGCCACGACAGCTGGAGGGCCGGAGTTGCCCAACCCTGCTTTAATGGGTACTGGGAGCTGGTGACAAGGGGTTAAAATCTATGAGATTTCCCTTCACTTCCTGTTCTAGAGACAACAGGAAGTTAGAGGAAGTTCTCTAAAAGAGAAATCCCCTCTTATATAGTTGTCTCCAGAACAGGTGTCCCCACTGCAGTATTACCTTCAGCTCCTGTTCCTGTGACAATAGTATCATTTTGCATTTCCTGTCACTTTCTGTAGCATGGACAGTGATCATTGGGGGTTTTTCTTCTCACTGAGGACACCCCGACAGCAATAAAGGGGTTTTTCTTCTCACTGAGGACACCCCGACAGCAATAAAGGGGTTTTTCTTCTCACTGAGGACACCCCAACAGCAATAAAGGGGTTTTAAGACTTCCATAACTAATAATACTTTACCAGTCTGTGTGTGTGTAGACGTGAGTGATGTAACCAGCCCCTGCTGTAACCTTCTATATACACTGCTCAGCTGGCGTCATGTTTGCGTCCCGGCTCCTGCAGTGTGTATTTCCAGTCAGTGTGGGAATCCAGCTGACAGCTTCCCCTCTCATTCACATTTTTATGTGGGGACTTTGTAGGGAGTCTCTTCTCCTTCCACACAGGAGAGGCGGCCTATCAGAATCCTCCTTCCTTCCTCTGGTTTCCATGGAAACAGCTAAATGCATTTATCTAGTCAGTGAGTGGAAGCTGCTCCTCCATGTGCCCTACCCCCATCGCCTTCATTCTGTACCAGTGTCTCAATGCAGCACCAGCAAGGAATCACTGCTTGTGGCCCTAATATTCTGTGCCCCCCCCTTTTCTCCAGATAGAAACTGTGAGGGACGAGAGTTCATCTGCAATGCCTGTCTCTAGAGCATGGCAGCTTGCGTTCAGACTCTTATGTGCATAGATAATAAATAGTGTATATATGGGAGGCTATGGCATAAAGCTGCTTGCTCCATTATACACCAATACTGAATAATCCAGGGCTAGGCATCCTGGGCTCTCCAGCTGTGTCAAAACTACAAATCCCATCATGCTTCTGCCTCTGGTAGTCCTGTCTGTGGCTGTCAAGAGTCTTGCAATGCCTCATGGGATTTGTAGTTTTACTACAGCTGGAGTGTCAAGGTTGCCTACCCCTGTGATAGTCTGATCAGCACATAAAGACTGGTATGGAGACTTTAAAGCATATCTACACTCATAGCAGAAATCTCATATATTGCAATCCTTAGATGTGGCGGCTTCATTCGTTTTCTTGCCACAGGGACCCTGTAAAACATTGTAGTAGCCACAGCTACTACAACAAGGGTGAATTAACTTCAGCCCTCCATCTGCTGTGGCTCTACAAATCCCATGAGGCATAGCAAGATTCTCACAGCCACAGGCATGACTCCCAGAGACAGATGCATGATGGAATTTGTAGTTTCATCACAGCTGAAGGGCCAGAGTTTTCCCACCCCTGTATTACAGTCTGTAACAGCGTGTTCTGGATTCAGGAACGGACGCTGTGCTCAGCGACTTCCCTTCCACTGTTAAAACAGAACGAGACGCTCAGTTGGCATAGCGGCCATTCAGTACACACCTACAGGGTTATTCACACAAGGGTTAAGAGTTTGGGGAAGTGAACAGTCTAGGACAAAATAGCCGATTTGGAAACATTCTCCCATTTCAGCTCACTTTCCAGTTCAGCTATTTTAGCCTAGATTGTTCACTTCTCCTGCCTTCTACTTACTCTTCACCCTTTTGTGAATAACCCTGTTAGTATTTGTATGAATCGGTACTAGGCATGCTCTGATTGGGCAAGGGGAGGTGACATCATAGCACCACCGCTCGAAGCAGAGCACAAACTGGTCTCAGATTTAGAGCTGATTTAAATATATTTCTCAATAGTCCCAAAGAATATAAACCCCCATTGTGTACATCAAATGCCATTGCAAATCCAGAATTTGCCTTGTAAAAGGAGAAGTGACATTATCAATGTACAGTAAGCCCTCGTTCACACCTGAACGTTTTGTAGCGCGTTCTACGCTCGACGAACGCTCTACAAAACGCTCAAACATGAAAATCCCATTGTTTTCAATGGGTCTGGTTCACACCTTGGCGTATTTCAGCCCGTCCCTAACGTGCTACAAAACGGCACACGCCTGAAAAGGTACATGTACTACTTTGGGCCGTTTTTGTTGAGCGTTTCCATTGGGATACAGCCAAGTAGCCCTCGGAAACGCGATTGTCGCGTGATTTTTTTACCGCGAATCGCGGTTAAAAAACGCGCGACAACCGCGCATATGCAATACGCCTAGGTGTGAACCAGGCCTAAACTCTCTGTTATCTGGAATTCAACTAACCAGAACTCTCATCTAACCAGAATATGGAGGACTACAAATCCCACTATCCCAGCAATACATCATAGAGCACCATGGGGGGGAAGGTTTAACTAAGCAGATTGTGGGCCTGTCTGGCAGCTAACCCCCCCCATGCCTGCTCTTCCTTCATAATGAATTGTGGATGGGCGGGCAGCGATGAGTCCGTGAGGCGGGGAGAAGCGGCGTGCGGCGAGTCCGTATGGTGGGGAGGAGAAGCAGCGTGCAGCGAGTCCATGAGGCGGGGAGGAGTCGTGTCGTGCAGCAAGGCGGGGAGGAGAAATAGTGTGCGGGGAGCCACAAGCAGGCAAACTAATCGAAATGTAACTAATCAATGATGGAAAACGTTGACAATGACAATTGTTGCAACTCTAATTGTACTAACACCCTTCATCTTTAGAGTCTAAAGGTGCCCATACACTGCACGATTCTCGTACGAGAATCGCAGGAAATCCCGCGATCGTACGAGCATCGTGCAGTGTATGGAAGGCGTGCGACTGTTTCTACTGTACGGTCGCACGTCTTCCGTCGAACCAGCAGGCTAGAAAACCCGCCGGGAATCGTACGATTCTCGGCGAGTTAGTGGCCTGCTGGTTCGACAACTGCCGAACGGGCCGGTGTGCGCACGTCCACACTGCCCGTTTGCAGTCATCGTAAGCCCGCCCCTCATTAGTCATCGTAAACCCGCCCCTCAAGGGGGCGGGCTTGCGATGATCAAGAGTACGATCTGCCTGTCCAAGATGGGCAGATCGTACGTTTTTTTAAGTACTTTACAACCCTCGCAAGACTAAGGTCTTGCGAGGGTTGTAAAGTGTATGGTCACCTTTACTTTTGAGGAACTAATAAAGATTGGTGCAGTCATAACTCCTAAACTAAAAATACCGAGCAGATCCTGCTTCTAATGAACAGAGATTGGTGCAGTCATGACTCCTAAACTAAAAAAGGTGCAAATCCTGCTTCTAATTAGCAAAGAGTGGCACAGTCACATATGCTTCATAGGAGTGATTTGCTCCATTTTCAGATCTGTGCCTGCACCAGCTGTGGCATAGAAAACAGTTTAGCTGTTTGCTCCGCCCCAGTCAACAAGTGGGAGGAGGAAGGCCATTAACCCTGTGTTTGCCAGAGGTAACTGGCATATAGGCAGGGCAAGAGGCTTTTCCTTCATATATGCAGGCTCTGTCTATTTAGTGTGTCTTATCTGATAATTAGTTTCCAGACAACATAACGGAGCACCACTGGCATGCAAATCCTTGTAATAAAGCATCCAGGTTTATGTTGTAGTATATAAAAAGAAAGGTTATTTGGCATTCATAGATCACTGACCAGTTGAAGAAACAATTTGTTTAGTGTTTTTGTCTTTATTCTGTCATTCACCAAATGTTAGTGTGAGAAGCATCAGACAGAAGATGCCATCCCCTGACCCCCGCAGGCCACATATGAGTCCTGGGGCAGTGTCAGCTTCACTGTCCTGCCTTTTTATTTTGCTCCTTCCCTTTTTATGTGAAAGTGGATGGCTGCGCCAGACGCCTTTGTTTAGAAACAAATCTATGCTCTGTATTCTGATGTTGTTTGATCCGAGCGTTTCTATTTATCATCATGGATGTTTAATGGATTTTTTGTTTGATTTGAGTGTGTTTGCTGCACCATACTGTCAGCTCCGCTTCACACTGTGTCATTATGCCATTGAATGATGCATGAGACTCGGCACCCACTTTGGCACTAAATGCTTGTTCTGGGTAATATATTAGTATCGTTGTGTTCGTCTCATGAAACAAATTGACTCAAAGGCTTAGTGTGGTTTTCCCAGCCCTGAATTATGTGTCTTTGCTGCGCTTCCAAGACTCCGTTTCTGCTTTTGTGTCACTTGTATGCTTTCTTATGCATGGTTTCTTCGTTTTGTGCCTGGCGAGACACCACACAAATAAAACAAATCAGTTGTCCAACCCGGAGGCATCCATATTGTGCTCCTTAAATGCACCCATTCATGTTTATCAATACTTATTGATTTTCAGTTAAAAAATCTAAAAAAGTTTAATGAGTCAATTATCTGGATTACACAGTGGTCAGTATACATTAGGCCCTTTTTCAGACGGGTGGTCCGATCAGGTTCTTTCAATAGGATCTGATCGGAAGCCCAATATTAGTCTATGGGCAGCTGGATGTAAATGGACGCGCGACCGTTTACTTCTGATTACCCCAACTCTGTCTATGTCTGGAATGGATCAGAGTTACATTTTGGCAGACTTGATCATGGCATATCAGAGGTAATCTGATGTTAACAGACACGTGTCCACTTACGTCTGACTCCCCATAGACCAACATGGGTCCATTAATTAATCATAAGATGGAGGAAAAAAACAAATGAACACGGATGTGACAACAGTGACATCCGGTCTTTACTGCTTCGATCAGCAGGGGATCCGTGCTGATCACAACTAATAGCGCCCATGTGAAAGGGGCCCTAGAGCCCATTTCTACCTTTTGCGGAGGTGTTTAAAAAAAAATATATGCCAGCTATCTATACCGAGTGTACATGAAGGAGGCATATGCACTTGCTGTATATGAACACAGGAACCTACGTCTTTTGTTAGCTTTCCTCATCATATCCTTATGGAAATGGCTGCCTCTATACTTCCCCCCCCCCCCCCCCAGACAGTGTATTGTGTGCAAAGGCAGAGCTGGTGTTTGGTGATCGCGTTACACAGAATCACAGGGTGGGGGTCAGCTGCTTTACAGTCTGACCCCACTGTTGGCTGAATTTTCTGTGGAGAAAATTTTGAATTTGTAGGATTCAGGACTAATAAAAATGAAGAAAGCCAGCAATGTGAGTTATGAATATGTTCATACATATACATAGTCACTGCACCGCTAGATTACCACAGTAAATGCTTATCACTTACAAAGGTGGAAATGGGCTTTAAAGTGTCTAAAACAAATATTTATAAAGGCATCAAGACTGGAGCACAGTTTTAGATAGCATTTTAAGGAGTATCTATGGACAACTACTAAAAATAAATGTTTTTCTATATTGAGTTCCCATACGTTCTATCCCATTCCTAATAACCAGATCCATCTAAGAGTTTGTAAACGTACTTATTGAAGATACCCATAGGCCTCACTCATTTAATGAATAGTTCAAGCGATGCAGATAGTATCAAAGCTGTGAATTTTTCTCTTCTCAGGGCTCATTGACACGGGCATGCACATCTGTACAGAGACCTGCTCCCGGGAGGTACAGGTGCTGCGTGTAATTGCATGCAGTCACCTGTACCTCCCTATGGGAGAACGCGGCTGCGTAACCAAGTGGGGGCAACCAGACCTGCACGGACGTGCAGGTCGGCGTGAAGACGCTCCTATACAAGGTACAAGCGGCTGCATGCAATTACACGCATCGCCTGTATATCCCGGGAGCAGGTCTCTGCATGGGCGTGCACGCTGTACGCATGTGCACTCCTGTGTGAATAAGCCCTAATGCTCACATTACGAATTTCATATAATTACAGGATGCGCTTGATCAGTCCACCTGCTTGTTGCTTTGCTGGGATTTATTCTGTCATAATAAAGTTAGACATTTTATATTTGGAAAGGTTATTATTCTGCAGAGGTAATATGAATGGATCATGTGAAAGGCAGATTACATTTTAATGCTTTATGGAGACAGAAGGCCGTGGTTGGCCCTGTTCTTCAGGAAGTTGTCCAAATTATTTGGGAAACAATCCATTTGAGCAGGGATTGCAGGAGATTTCTGAAATGGCCAAAATGTTAATCCAAGTAAATGAAAACCAGTCTAATGGCTTCTAAGCTCCTGTGCTGTGTAATTCAGTTGATTCTGATGCCTAAAGTGTCAAGCATGTCATGCATTTAAAGTGGGCTTGTTTGTAAGTTTACTAGACAAAAAACTCTACCGTCTGTCAGCTGACTATCCCTTGAAATGAAATGTCACCAGTCCCCTATATAGAACCTTGATTCTCAACTGGTGGGTCGTGACCCAAAAGTGGGTCGGGACCCCGTATTTAGTGGGTCGTCGCATGTCTTCCACTTTTGTAAGTGACAGGCTCCTCTGCTTCCCCCTAGCGCAGCACTGTCAGTTCTCATGCAAAGCGGCCATTCAAAATATGCTGCCCGGTGCCGTGTCTCAGATTAAGGTGGGATGGGATGGGGCTATGGCTGCGAGGGAGCTCCATACATACGTGCATTTCTTTACTGCTCCCTCATGTGACCTGTAGCGTTGCCTAGACAGGGGTGACATCACATTCTGGCTCCCAGCACCTCTTCAGGGCGTGCGGGGGAGCTGTACAAGCAATGCACATATGGATTGAGTTCCGTCACCGTTCAGCCCACACTGGACCCCAGGCTGAGGATCCAATCCAGTGCTCGTAAGGTAGTGAGAGTGGGTGGTGTTTTTGAGGGTCTGTTCACACTAGTACAGTGCGTTAATCGCACGTACCCTGCATTCTGGTGTGGGAGATGTATTGGGTTGCCGTTCAATTGAATGGTACCCCAAACGCACCTCCCACCCACAGCTTGTTGGCCCGCACTGGAATGCACGGTACCTTAATTTCGTGCATTCCATTGCACAATTTAACAATCGCACTGTAGCAAGGCACAATTTGAGAGATGGTAGCAGGGGGCGCATCTGTGTGAAATGTGTACACACCCCACTCTTTATAATAAATATATTTACATTTTTTTTATTTAATTTTTTCTATGTGTCCTTGCGCTGACCTGCATTGATCTTGTACAGTACAGCGCAGTACAGTTTTAGTTGTTGTTTAACTATAAATTCATCCAGCATCATTGATCCAAATCTGATTCTGCTCTATAAAAGAAAGTGTGTCGATTAAGTCGTAATGAAATCTAATCATGTTCGGTCTCCATTATAGGCACACATTTCCCTTCATTGTAACAGAACTGATAACGGAAAACAGATCCCGAGTGATATCCTGTTATAATTTCAGTAAGCCGGGCTGATTTATTTGTCTTTCGCTTTTTCTGTCTATAACACGTGTTTGTGTTTATCTTCCCTTCCTGTCTTATTATAGGTGACGATCAGAGGCATGGATATCACATAATCAGCTCTGAATTGCCAAGACCAAGTGTGATTTTTTTTTTTTTTACAAATGCTCGTCTCCTTGCAGACCAGCGCTGAGAAAAGCATGGATGAATCCGCCTTGTTGGACCTTTTAGAGTGCCCGGTATGTCTGGAGAGACTCGACGCCTCTGCTAAAGTCTTGCCATGTCAGCACACATTCTGCAAACGTTGCCTGTTGGGGATCGTCAGCTCCCGGAGCGAGCTGCGCTGCCCGGAGTGTAGGACGCTGGTAGAGTGCGGGGTGGATGAACTTCCCAGCAATATCCTCCTGGTCCGGCTGCTGGATGGAATCAAACAGAGGCCGAGGAAGCCTGGGACAGGGCCACACACTGGGAATAGCACAAATGCATTAAGAGCACAAGGCAATGTAACTACTAATTGCGGCACAAATGACGCACAAAGTAATCAAGGGGGACCTCAGAGGATACAAGCACGGAGCCCTCCTGTCAGGGTAGGTAAAAGGCACAAAGGTTATCTGCTTATTCCACACATAATGCTGGGTCATCCTATGAAATCATTTTTTTTTAAATTATCATTGCGATTATCTTTTGGTGACCTATTGACCACGTAGACAAGTTTGTGTCACCAGTACAAATGGATAGGTGAATCTCCCCAACAGGGCAATCATTGCCAAGACAGAAGGTGATGGGAAATCTTAAATTAAGAGTTGTCACCAGAACAAGAGGTGACGGTAAATTGTTCACTGGGAACAACAGGTGACATCTGTCGTAGGAGGGAATTTCCATCTTTTGTACAAAGGCAGTAAAAACAAAAGTTGACGAGGTTTTAACCCTAGCCACTCTATCCGAAACTTAAAGTAGTATTAAGGTCTGGGCATTTTTTATCTAAATGCATTTTCTACCCCAGTCCCCCCCAAACATGTCAGCTGCGCTCGTCCCCGCCGCCGGTTCGAAGTGATCCTCCGTTCCCCGAACTTCCGGGTTTCGGGGGGAGGATATTGATGGCAGAGGAGCCGTAGGCTCCTCTGCCATCAATCAAAGAGGGAAGGGGCGTGGCCTGCCACAGGGCTGTGTGTGTCTATGGACGCACACAGCCACTGCGGAAATGAGCGGGCACGGGTGCCTCCACTAGAACGATGGTGGCACCCGTGCAGGGGGTGGGGGGAAATGCGCTGCGGGGACCACTAGAAAAGGAGGAAATAGAAACTTTTAAAGAGCAACAGCCTTATTCAAGAGGGTCTGGTATGGATCTTAAGGAGGAACCCCACACAAAAAAGGGGTTTCCCCCCTTCATTTCAGGGTTCCCTCTTCACATCAGAGTCCTCCTTTTTACATGAGTCTCACACTAGGAGCCCCTCTTCCACATCAAAGTCCCTCTTCACCTGACACATTTCATGCACGTTGTGTGAAAATTTCGTGGCACCCCTGAAAAAGCCAGAAGGCACCCTGGTTGAGAAAGGATGCTCTAGACTGCCAGAGCCCAGGGGAAAGAGGATGCAGGAGCAATTGAGCAGCCCTGAGGAAGCCGATGGAAGCAGGAGTCAAGTAAAAGCCTCTTCTCTCCTCAACTCTGGTGGTCTAGGGACCCCTAACGTCATTATGTCTAATGCAGGTTCCATAGGCCTTCATTAGACGTGAGGGCACATAGGTAGATTTCACAGCTGCAGCGTTGTACGGGTACTGGTTTTTGTTTGCCTCGAGATGGGCTTTATGTATTAGCTGTTCTCCCAGGAACACAAAAAAGTGCTGATTTGTTATATGTAGTAATTTTGAAACCTCAATTTAAAAAATGCTGCCCAATTTCTAAGTATACTGGAAGTCCTCTTAAAGCTTGCATGTTTTGTTTTGGAAAACCTCTGCAGATCTATAGTGAAGACAGATCCCCTGTCCCCCAGCTAATGTTCCAGCTGTGGTTCCAGAGAGCTACATTGTGTGCTCTTATCGTCAGTTCAGTCCTCAGTGTGGAATGCTCAGTTTTTAGAGCTGTTTTAGGCAATCCTGACACATGTCCCTTTGGGATGTTGCCCCGGGACTTAGTTAAATCCACCCACCTTTGACAGTGTTAATCTTGCTGCAGATTTGTTTGAATATGTAAGGATTTTCTGCTACAATGGTTTGTCAAGATAGAGAAACTTTTTGCAAGGGTGATGCCAAACATCTGTCTCGATCTGGTTATTGCTTATTGTGAGCAGCTGTCTAGGAAGAGCGGGTTAAGCCTGGGTGTGGTGTCTTATGTTCTACATAATGATGTCTTTTTATTGCAGCACTTTTTCTGAGATATTGTACGCTTTTTACAACCATGCACCGTCTATATATTCGCAGCTATGGGGCAGATATGTGACTTCAACTGGAAGTTTAAACGGTTCCCTTTTATGTAGAACAGGATATGGAAACGGCCTTCTCCTTCTAACATAGACTCCAAGTCTACACGGTATCTGGGGAGTTTTGGCTCAGAACTTCTCAGTCTACATGACGCTGACTTCATAAGTGAAAGGCGTGCAACACTGTTATGGGATTTTGGGGTATTTGGTATCATCCATTTGTTACATGCCGACTATGCAAACAATAAAACATCTGACACCCATGATTACGTAAACCTGTTACCTGCAAACAAGCATGTATTAGACCTACGTTTGGACCAGATGTAAAATAATGGGCTTTTTTTTTGTGCATTACGTGTTTTACGTACGGTATTTATGAAGTTGCTACAATCTTGGTATGTCATCATTGAGGAGTTTCTAAGTTGAGTATTAGCTGTTCGCCAAGGAACACAAAAAGTGCTGATTTTTTCAACCTCATGTTTGAAATGATACTCCATTTCTGAGCATGCTGGAATTCTCCTTTAAGCTGGGATCACATGGGTGGCAGCCTCCATCACCTTCTGAAAAGTGATCTGTAGTGGAATGCTTTTCAGGGGGTGATGGAGCAGCGGCTGGTTGGCGTTCAGGAGGTGATACAACCTCCTCTTCAATGTTGGTTTAATCGTGTACCCATGCGGTTACAGCGAGGTCCCATTCATTGCAATGATCATGTTTGACAAGCGGCACCACCTGCCAAATTCAAATGCTGAATATATTTTGCTGCACCGCAAAGCATTGTGGACACGGCAGTGTATTCAGCAGTGTATTCAGCACTGTTCAGCCACAGTGCTTACATTGCAGCAGGTGATCGGGGCAGTAAATCCACAGATCAACCGCCTGGTTTTACCGTCCCCCTGCTGTCCGTCTGAACGAGGCCTTTAAAGTGCAACTGAAGCCCAACTTTTTAAAAAATGTTTGGGAGTTTTGGATGGAGTGGGATTAGAACAGTTGTCAGGTTTTTATTACTGTCTGTGTTCCCATTAGGTTAGATCTATCCTCTCTATTTGTCCTGGCGACAAATCCCACATTCCGGGTTGTCATCAGCACAGGAATAGTTGTGAAATCTTCCAGTGGAGACGCTAGTTCTGGTGACCCTACTAACCACCAGGAATTTTATTCTCTTTGGCGGGTTTTCACTTCACGTTGTGGCTATCGGGATAGGGGCACACTGGTTTTAACCCACCCTTACGCTATCCAAAATTAAATAAAAGGTTTTAGCTTTAAAAGCTTTCATGTTATGGTTTGGAAAAATCTCTGCAGATGCAGATTCTTCACATGTTGTTGGTATAAATGCTCATTGTATTACTAAAGCAAAGTGTATAAATGACAATTGTCTTGTCACTGTAGAAATTTGCCAGAATGTGAAAACAAACTCCTGTTCGGCTCTGAGCCTCACAAACAGTTTGGTTAACGTTCTTGATGTAGCACTAGGGGAGACTGATAATTTTGCAGCTGCATGAAATTAAAAATGTTAACTAAGCATACATTAACATTAAATGTTAACTTAGTCAATGGTGACTAAGCATACGTATTCTGTTCTGTTTTTCCCCAGGCTGTAAGTAATATTCGTAGGTCAGGTTTTCAGCGTTGCATAGAAACTAGGCTTTAACACGTGAATGTAAAAAAAAATGACATTTTGAGCCATGCCAGTATTCTCGAGGTTACAGAGCTCTTCTCTGATACACGACTTGTCTTCTGTGTAATGTTTCCTCATGGCTTGTGAAGTTTAAACCTTGCACGTTGGTGCCATAAATGTACCAATAAAAGGGTTTGCAGATCATTTTTTTCCCCTATCACATACAGTATGATTGAGAAAAAAACTATTACATGAAAACTGCCACAAAACCGGGTTCACAAAATATTTGTGTGCAATCGTGTAAACATAAAATTGTCAGTACAGAAACCTGGTGTAAGATGGCTTCTTTCAGCTTGAAAGTATATCTAAGGCCAGAACTTTTTTTTAGTTTTGGATAGAGTAGGGGAGGGTTTAAATGCCTGATGGGCCATCTGTGTCCTATTGGGAAGATTTCCCTTCATTTATTTTTTTTTCTTTCATTAACATACTTGACTATGTGTGGTTTCCTTGGGGAATGATGAGGAGGGTTTCCCATGGGTGCAAGTAATCATCATAACTACCCACAGACAATTTCCAACTTGATGGGAAAAATCTTTGCGTTGAGGTTTTTCCTGTTCTGTGGAGAGCCTTTGGCTGATTTGTAGTGCGCATTGTGATGGACTTTATTGGATGTGACAGTGGACAGATATTTTACCACCATGTTGGGCTGAGACATCTGCCTGTCTGTGGATTTCCTTACAAATCATTTAAATCTCTGATTTTCTTTAAAACCGTGAAATGTGAATTTAAGTCGTGACACCTCTTCTGTGAGTGATTTATTTGTTTATTACAGTGATTTAAATAGCACCAACGATTTATTTACACAGCACTTGCCATACTAAGGTCTAAAGTCCCATTATCACACACACACCTTTTTAGAGTATTGGAAGAAATCCACACATGCTCAGGCAAAACATGAAAACTCCATGCAGGTAACAGGATTCAAACTAAGGACCTCAGGGTTACAAGGCGGAACACCAGCCCACCATCTGTTAATGGGTCTATGGACAGCCATAATATTTAACAGATGTCTCACTAGAAATGACAATGCCGAGACAACTGCCCAATCTCAACCCTGTTGGCATTGGCCATGATTATCTACAGAATTCAACTTGAGTGGAGGTCATATTCGCGTCATCTTGCATGGAACAGTGGAAGTTATATTAGAGTCGGCCATGATTACCTACAGGATTCCACTTGCATGGAATAGCGGAGTTCTTATTAGAGTTGGACATGATTATCTACAGAATTCGTCTTGCATGGAACATTGAAGATCATATTGACGTTGGTCATGATTATCTACAGAATTCAACTTGCATAGAAGAGTAAAGGTCATGTTAGCATAGAACATGATTCTCTAGAGAATTCAACTTACATTGAAGAGTGGAGGTCCTATTGGCCGCAGCCATGATTATCTACAGAATTCAACTTGCATAGAACAGTGGAGGTCATATGTTTTCCTTCTCTTTTTTTCACGCAGTGGGAAAGGCAATGGGCCCAGTTTGCACAGACAATT